TAAAACCCGGTGACGTGAAGAAGAGATTGAAGTGTACTACTAGATTGGCAACAAGGTCTCCCTATTTTATTAGCTAGATGTAGCAGTCAGTTTTATTTTAACAGTTTCTTTTCTCTCACTTCTCGCATGTGGTACTCTCTCCCAGTTTCTTGTTTCCCTGGTGCCTACAATCTTCAAAAATTTAATTGCCACGTCAATCGCCATCTTCTGTCTTCCTGAATCATGTTCCTTTATAGTCTTTTCTCCTCATTAAAGCCTTAAATAAATAGTTGAAATCATTTACTATACTTATTAACTTTTCTTTATACAAATTCCTATCAATGAGGGAAAAACTGATCAGCTCGGCATTAATTATTGCTCTGACAAGGTTTCCTCTTTGATACATCGGTAAGGTCACTTCATTTTACAGTTGAAATGGCAAGATGCAACCGTAAGTTCTGTGGTAATAGTTTCTTCCCTCGCACTTCTCGCTTGTGGAACTCTCTTCCGGCGACTTGTTTTCTATGCTTAAGGCCATGTCATATTAAAAAAAAAAAGAAAAAAATGTTCCACCGAAATTAAGCAACGTCAAGCGTGGTCAGTACCTAGTTAGGGATCGCTTGGGAATACCAGGTACTGTAAGGTTGGATGTGCGTGTAGTGTAATGGATAATGCCTCGGTATTGTTAATCGGAGAGCTGAGTTCTGATTCCAGTTGGGTTCATTATTCACTTACTCGCAAATATCCTTCTGAACGTTATGAATCCACCTCTTCTCCCCCAGCTATGGGTTACTCAGTACGACTTCTATCATTATACCATTATTATTTCAAATAAATTTCTTACAACCTAAAAATATTTTCTGGCATTATATAACTTGTAACGGGTTGATAAACCGTAGAAACTGAATTAATCAATCAATCTGTGTTTCTAGTTTTAACTTTGATCTTTAAAAATTTAAATACAATGTCAATCGTTATCTTCTATCTTATTAATTCTTGTTCTTTTAATGCTCTCTCCATTAATAATGTTTTTTTTTTCGCACTTTTTTAAAATCTCATTAACCCTTTGCGTCTTAGTGGCATTATCGCCTTTTTTGTGGGGGTGAAATGATTAAAAAAAAGACAGAGAGTCAACGAGAGAAAGACATAAATAAATGTCATAATGATTTGAAAAGGTCCAGAACTTTTTGTTAATCAAGTGTGTCGATTGTAAAACATATTCTAGGCGCCACCAACAAGAGTAGGAACAAGAAATAGCAACAAATAAAATAGCAGGAGAGAAAGAAAAAAAATATCTTCCAAGAAAAATAAATTAAATGAGTAACAAAGTTCGACAAGAAAAAGAAGCAAACAAAACAACGAAAAAAATCAAGTCTCTTGGAAAGTTAAAAAAAAAAAGATGACAAACTCCCAACCATTATTTTTTAGCGGTTAAATTATGCCAGAAAATGGCTTCCAGCTAGCAGAGGGAGATTTTTCAAATAATTGTTGGCTATTAGAAATTTTGACATCATGCATCACAAATAATGATTATGATGATGAAATTATTAATAAATATAATTTCACAATGATATATTTTATCGTATTCTGATGGGGATTTACTATTTAAGATCAATTATATCAGAGCGAAAAGAGGGAAATTTAAGAGAATAGAAAATGTTTTTGTAAAATAAGAATATGACAATAAAACATATCACAAATGAATGCAACTCAAAAGAAATATAATTACAAACAGAACAAACTAGCAACAGTTATATACTGTGAATTATGCAAACAACCGATGTTCAACCATTTCAACAAAAGCCAAAGAATGACGTAGCTAGACTTTAAGCGCAGTACTAGATTGGCAGCCAGGTCTCATCAATTCACGGTTGAATTGGCTAGATGTAACCGTAAGTTCTCTGCTAACAGTTTCTTCTCTTGAATTTCTCTCTTCTGAAACTCTCTTCTGACCTCTTGCTCTCCATTCAAATGTGAACTTCAAACAATTAAATGTAATATCAATCTTTAATATTTTTCTTCTTAATTCCTGTCCGTTTATTGTTCTCTCTTCGTAATTATGGGAAATACACTGTACTGCAAGTTTGGATGTGTGGGTGGTGCAATGGATCATGTCTCGGAATTTGTTAATAGGAAAGACTAGTTCCAATCCACATTGGGGTCGTTATATTCACTTCTGTGCAAATATCCTTAAGAAAGGCATGAAACCACCTCTTCTTCTGGCATCGGTTAATTACTAAGACTTTTATCAATAAACCATTATTTTTTTATAAAAAAATTCTTACAAACTGCAAGTCTTAGAAAACGAATCAATCAGTCAAATCCTGATTAGTAACACATGTAAGTCTTTTAGATTTATTTACGTTCTTTGGAATATAAATGTATAGAAATTACCGTTGCCACAAAGTGAGGGATCAGTTTATATATAGATTATAATATAGAATTATCCCCCATTTTATAATTTGTTATTTGTTTATGAAATTCTGATGAGTTATGAATCCATCTCTTCTCACCTTGCTATGGGTTAATTAGTAAGACTTGTATCAGTAAATTATTATATATATATATACACACACACACACACACACACACATATATATATATATATATATATATATACTTACGTTATAATTTTTTAATAATAATTATATATATATATATATATATATATATATATATATATATATATATATATATATATATATATATAAATCACTGGATGATTCATGGTGCGCCATATGCTAAACATAGTATGAACATCACTCTATATCAATAAAAAGGCATGAAATCAGAATCCTTTGGGGTTCTTCCGATCTAGCACAAACTACCTGGCTGATTACATTCAATGCCTTGGAAACCAAACTAGTTACATTCCATCGCCGATCGGACCCCGAATTACTACCAGTTTCGATGAACGGATGGCCTCAAACACACACCCGACCTCTAGTGGAACTCGTACATACGATCCATTGCTAAGGATGCAGGTAAAATGGTCGGCTCCCTGCCTCGTTTTAGTTAGTATCTGGCTCCTCCTTCTATCTTTTACCTTGACAAGAGACAAATCAGACCAAAAAATGGAGCAATGTTGTCGTATTTGGGCAGGAGCTATCCAGACATCACACTCCAGCCTTGATAGAATTTAAAAACGCCTCCGAACCCTTGTGGGTAACGAATTAAATATCACTCTCTAATCTCTCTCTCACAAGCGGGATGTGGTATGCCTCTCCTTGCTCTATCGTTACTTCCACAGAAGTTCAAACCTTCATGGCAAAGGACACGCCATGCCACTTACGTTAGTAGCGAACTACTCACGTTCTCTCCGTATTCCATCGGTGAGAAGTAAGATCCACTCAAATAGCTTCTTCCCGCGAACTACTGCTTTGTGGAATCGTCTGCCAAGAGGATATTTATCCGGTCACTACAACCTGTTTAAGTCTAGGATTAACCTTTTATCTTTCCCAACTATACGCTCAAATTTTTTCCTAACTTTAACTCGAGTGGGCCCAGTGCTTTGTACAGTAAATCTAATTGTAAAAAAACCCCAAAAAAACAAAACAAAAAAACAAAACAAAACAAAAACAAACAATTGTCATACTGACAGAAATATAAACGCTAATAGAGTAGACGGTTATTAAAGACTCCAAATAAAAATGGCTTTTAATAGAAACAGAATCGGTGTCCGATAAAAAAATACACCCGTTAAAGAATGTGACAAAATAAGTAAACATAAGACACTAAAAATCGAAATTATCGCACGGGGTACGACAAAAATGCACAGACAAGCACATTAATGTGATCCCTAATAGCCCCTGATAGCAAGATATTAAAATAAATTGTTAATAATTAATAAAGATGCCTGCTAACGTGTAACGTTTAAAGATTTCGCCAAAGTGTAATAGTTATCGACGAGTGAAGTGAAATCGGAGTTCTGAGTTCAAATTCTAATCAACTTCGTTGTTTACTTTCGCTCAAATATCATATTCTACCCTCAGTTAAATATCAGGGCAGATTTGATTCTCTACACTTAGTTGGTGACCAGTCTGAAGGAGAACTTTCAAATTAATCTACCTACTTACGAAAGGCACCACCGCAGCAACACCCAGCGTGGTGAGGCTGTGGCATTATATCCCTCAAAGAAATCTTATGTGACTAAGAAGGAGTGGGCATTTAGCTAGATTTCCAAGTCTCATGGGTGTTTTTATCATAATAGTTTCGGTCGAAGACTCTTCTTCAAAGATGAAGAGAAGATTAGAAGCAACAGAAATGTGGTTCTACAGAAGGATACTGAGGATATAATGGACCGAACATGTGAACAATGATGAAGGTTTGGAGAAAATGGAAACAAAAAGCAAACTATTACTTAACATCAGGAAGAGACAGTTAAGGTTTCTGGAGTACATAATGAGGAAAGATGGCTTGGAAAATCTGATACACACAGGAAATATGGAAGGCAAGAGGAACAGAGGAAAACGACTTGAGTAAATGTATGGCAGAACAGGGCTTACGAGAAATAACCGAAAGACAAAATTTATTAAGAGTTGCAAGGGAGAGGAACTTGTGAATAGACATACTCGTTTACTATCTAAGGGAACATTGTATCCAAAGAAGAAGACTTTTCGACCATTGAAGTAAGAAGCGTAATGGAAAAAAATATTTACCTCCTGACAAGGCTTGAATTTATACATGCTCCAAGGAACTTGACATTCAAAGATGCCGCCTGAACTAGTTAAGCAGTAACTACCTTAAATGTGCAGATGGTAGCAGCGAAATGCTGTTACACCACTTGCCAGTTTTGACAGCAGGCAATGAGATTTCTTCCAAGATAAAATTTCCTCATCAAAATATTTACATGCATTTTCAACATCAATTTTGTCTTTGCGAGGTGTTCGCTTTCTCTGTTTATCGTGTCGATGGATTTTTTCATCTTAACTATAATCCTTATCTTTAGCACTTTTTGCTTCTTTTCCAGTGTCGGATTAAATCAATTCAAACTGCATAAAAGTTCGTGATGGGTCGGTTAAATGGCAAATGACAGACGGCAAGGCTCTATTCGTTCAGTGCTTCTTGAAATTATATTTCTAAAACCTGCCTTTCTGCGTTGTTTTCTCTGGTTATTTGAAGAGAAACACATTTCCCTGACTATAGCAGTCAGTTCATCTATCTATCTATCTATCTATCTATCTATCTATCTATCTATCTATCTATCTATCTCATTCGTTTCGTATCTATCTATCTATCTCATTCGTTTCGTATCTATCTATCTATCTATCTATCTATCTATCTATCTATCTATCTATCTATCTATCTATCTATCTATCACTGTCCCTTCACCTACCTATTTATCTGTCTCATTCAGTTCATATTTGATTGATTACTGAGGAGTTACATAGTTACCCCGATGCTATCTCTCTCTCTCTCTCACTTTATCTATCTATCTATCTATCTATCTATCTATCTATCTATCTATCTATCTATCTATCTATCTATCTCATTCGTTTCGTATCTATCTATCTATCTATCTCATTCGTTTCGTATCTATCTATCTATCTATCTATCTATCTATCTATCTATCTATCTATCTATCTATCTATCACTGTCCCTTCATCCCCATATTTATCATTCAGTTCATCTCTCTCTCTCTCTCTCTCTCTCTCTATATATATACATATATATATATATATATATATATATATATATATATGTATATCACTGTCCATTCATCCACATATTTATCTCTCTCATTCAGTTCATTATCTATCTATCTATCTATCTATCTATCTATCTATCTATCTATCTATCTATCTATCTCAGTCTGTTCCTATCTATCTATCTATCTATCACTGTACCTTCATCCGCATATTTATCTCTCTCATTTAGTTCATATCTCTTTCTCTCTCCCCCTCTCCCCCCTCTCTCTCTATATATATATATATATATATATATATATATATACACTGTCCATTCATCCACATATTTATCTCTCCCATTCAGTTCATTATCTATCTATCTATCTATCTATCTATCTATCTATCTATCTATCTATCTATCTATCTATTACTCTGCTTGAGGAGTTACGTAGTTTTTCACAGCGCTCATTGTCACCAAACGGCATTAATGGTTAAAAAAGTTTCAAAACTGACGACGTATATTGACGTTACTTTCTAACCATCGTTTACGCAGGGAAAATTGATTAATGGAATCTCCTTCGAACCGTTAACCCTTCTCACCCACTTTCATCATGACCGATCGAAACCCGTGAAAGACCAACGGTCAGTAATATTTGCGAGGATATTATTTCTATGTGTTGTATCCCTTCAGGATGTGGGCGATATTGGCTCTCCACAACTTCCTCTTCTTCATAGCCATTTGAAATTTGTTTCTTTTTAATATTCTTCCTATTCTCTGTTTTACACAAACTCTCCATGTCACTTACATTCTGTTTCCATTTCTCTCCCTCTTGCCTTCGTATGCCTAGTGGGTGTCACATTTTCAAACCTTCTTTCCTCATTACATTTCACAGAAATTTCAGTTCTTTCCTATTATAGGTAACATTTTGTTTTCTATTTTACTGAAAATTCCTATTGTTTACATTATCTTTCCATTTTCTTCTCAGCATTTTTCATCACTGTTGCCTCAAATCTTTTATTTATCTGCGAGGAAATTGTTCAGTATCCATTGTTATATTTGAGGACTGACATTACAGGAAACTTCACTACTGTTTTCTTTGTTTCTAACAAAATCTTTCTGCTTAATTCTTTTTGAAAATCATCTTTTTCTATCCAATATGACTTCGGATTTCGATGACACATGTTCTACCATCTTTTAAAATGCATCTTAAGAGATTTCACCTTCATTCAGTCAATTATGTGTCATGCGTGATACACGCTTAGGCGATCATGTATGTTTCGATAAATGATTCACGTGGCAGATTTTTTCCCGCAGTAGGTTGCCATTTCTTTCTGCGGTAGACCAGTTGCCATCCAACGTTATAGAACTCAGTCTTTCCTGCTATTTACCCATAGCTGGAGGAAGAAGAAGAGGATTCAGACTTTTCCCAAAGGTATTAGCACGTAAGTGAATGTAATGGATTCGACTGGAATTTGAACTCGGCCATCCGATTCCTCAATACGAGCCTCTATCCATTACATTACGTGTTTGATTTTGGCATTTCCAATTCGTAGTTCTATTGTAGGGCTTTCTGGAAGTGTCTTCTCGTGAAAATGGTCCTCCCCATATAGCATAGCTCGGGACTCAGGGTTGGACATTGGAGACCTGGGGACAGCAGTGAAGGACCGAACATTGTGGAAAGGGATTTTCAGTGGAGTTCTGTCCAACCATAGGCAGATCGAAGGATGGTGATGAGGGCCTTCTTCTCTTGCTGACAATCATGTCTTCTTTTTTCTTCCATTTGATGGCGCATCCTTTCTCTTCGCTTTCCTTTACTAGCTTATCTTGGACTTCCCATACTTTTTACTTTCACATCTGCCAGCAACACAATGTCATCTGTGTGTCTTATGTTATTACACCCGATAATAAATCCTGGTAAACACGCTTAGAATAATCGCGTTGTAAAGGTTGAATGAATAATGCGAGTAGATGGCTTCGCCTATAGTTAGGTTCACACTTCTCACCGGTGTTTCAAACAGAGGTAGTGCTTTATCCCTTGTTTTCCTGTTCAATTATATGCTACTAATGCTTGTACTTCCTTACGCTAATACAACTCCATACAGTAACCCAGTCTATCTTGAGTGGACCTTGTGCCTTGTATTGGATAAACATTAGCAAAAAAAAAAGAAAAAAAAAAAAAAAAAAAAAATCCTGTGAGCCGACATATTTGTCTAA